GCGTACAGGCGAAGGGGCCAGAAGTTAACCAAGATGTGCCAGCACATCTAGCTTTCCATGGTGATGCTGGGGTCTGAACCCAGGTCCTAGCACTTGCATAGCAAGCATTTTTTTTTTTTTCACATGAAGCTATCTCCTGAGCCCTCAAAGTCAACAGTGTATTTCCTCCCTGGGGCTGAGCTCTAGGATAGCTATCCCATTGTAGGTAAGAACTTCCTCTTAGCTCTCTCAGCTTTGCCTAGTGACCACCATCCAAACTGCTGGCTGCACTCCCAGACACTCTCCTTCCTGAGAGTGTCACAGTTCCCTGCAGGGTGGGCTGGCTTCTTACCCATTTATGAAGACACAAAACAGCCAATGTCACAGGCCTGTGAGACTTCTTGATAGGTACCTCCTCTCTCAGAAGCTTCTGCCAGAGCTTCAGTGAAGTGCTGTAATTCTGAAGTGACACCGCATAATGAATGTTAAATATTAAAAAGCACACCTCTTCTGTTTCAGGGCCTGCTTTTTTACCTTAAAAATGATCTTTTGTCATACTAGCCCGGAGTCCCTTCTGACCTAGTGCTTTATACTGAAGCGTTGTGGAGAGGATTTGGATTTCCACATTCAGACTTTCATCTGAAGCATTTTATATAAAATACCTACATTATAAATTACTAATTTTTTTCAACTGGATTAACAATAGATAGAGTTCTTATTTTTCCTTATCTCTCACTGGGGGTTCAAAGTTAGAGAACCTGATCATCCCAGTCGTCCTCCTGTGGAAATCAGCAAGATAATGAAGATTTTCTACCAGAATATTTGTTAGTGATTCTCGTTCACCTTTGCAAACACCGAATTTCTTCATTGTCTTGGGCTGACAGCTAGGGTGCCCTGGAAAGTAACTGGGGTATGTCTGTGGGGTTCTATCAGATTAACACACTGACCTGTTTAAAAGGAAATAAAAGGTGCAGCTCAGTTTTGGGACTGCACTGGACTCGCCGAGCAAAACCCTCTTAAACAGAAATTGTGCAGTGAAAGCAGAGGATAGAGTGCTCTGTGCACATTAAACACTTTCATCAGGGCCCAGGGGTGCAGCTCAGTTGGCAGAGTGCTAGCCTGGCAGGCGGGAAGCCCTGCATTCCTCCCCAAGCATCACATAAACCCAGAACACTGCCTTGTGCCTGTAATCCCAGCATTCAGGACTTGGAGGCAGGAGAATCAGAAGTTCAAAGTCATCCTTGAGATGTACAGGAAATTCAAGGCCATCATACATGATATATAAGACCCTGTCTCAAAAAATGAAAACAATAAAAAGCATTTTAATCCAAGCCTCAAATATGACTGATTTCAAAGCTTCTTTAATTAAAAGCCCTACTTAGTAAAAGAGGTGGCAACAAGCTGGTTTAAATTAATAAGTAATACTACATTTAATGTGTTCTGTGAATGCTTCCAGATTTGCTGATAGAAGTCAGTGATTATGTAACAGGTTGGGTTTTTGCTTTTGGTTTGTTTTTTAAGAAATCATACTTTTTACAATTATATTTGAATAAATGAGGTCAACTCACTAAACGCTTTGTAATTCAAATAGAAAGAAACAGACTCTTTGCTGGGGATGGGGAGAAAGGCGCAGGTGGGATCGATTTATGAGACAGACATTGTACCCATCTTCCTGAATAGCTAAGTTAGACAGGAAGCACAAATTTGATGATTGTGGGAGGTACAGTCCTAGTTCTTGGTCCACTGAAGCGGAAGCCACAGCATGATCGACACAGACACCCTTTGCTGGCTGTGAGCCATCAAAGCAAATATTTTTCTCAAGCACACCCAAATGCTAGGATGTTTGCTAATTTTTTATTATTAATATTCTCCCTCTCTCTGTCTCTGTCTCTCTGTCTCCCTCTCTCTCTCTCTCTGTCTCTCTGTCTCTCTCTCTGTCTCTCTCTCTCTGTCTCTGTCTCTCTGTCTCTCTCTGTCTCTCTCTGTCTCTCTCT